CTCGACATGCAAGCCTGATACAGTCTATCTCTCATGTGCTCCTCAATCTCTGTTTAGTGTGCATTCAACTCAGTCCTGAGTGGAACTTGAAATTGTCTTGTTCCGCGCCGGGCAGCTGGTGACGATGATGGTACTATCATATCTGAGTCTGCTCTCACAAACTCGATCGATTTGGTTTCATTCGTCCCATCCTGGGCTCAGGGCCCGGTCAGCCGCAGTCACTGTACCGTCACGTTGTCTTACGGTCCGATCTTCAGCCTCCGAGGCTCCGGTCCGGTCACTGAGATCATCGGATCGCAGTAGATGATTTTAGTCAATCCTCTCAACGGTTTTCATCGCCAGCAGTCCGCCTCGGATCCGTTGCTCCAATTAGCGTCCACCCCTTACGCTGACTAGCGGATACCTGGAGCTTCTAGGGGTGGGGTAGGGCAGTGCAAAATACATCAACAGGTAGGGTAGGCTGGTGTTGCTCACCCGTACCTGATAGGCTGAAACCATGTGAATATGAGGGTGATATACGACTAGGGTAGGGCTCCATGTAGAGGGGTGGTTGGGCGGGAAACATGGCAGGAGGATGAAGGGAGAGAGCGGGAGGAGAGAGGGAGAGAGGATGGAAGGAGCTTGAGGGAGGGTGAGGACAAGCTTGTCATGTCGCTAGTGTGTGAGAGATGTCTTGTAGCTGCTGCAGAGAGAAGGAGACGTGACAACAGACAGAAGAGAGGAGAAGAGAGGAGGGAAAAGAAACGATGGAAGGAAGGGATGAAATATGACGAATACCAAGAGGAGCGAGGAAACCTTCTCTGTGCTTGATTAATGTGTTTTCGGCATTCTTACTTCCTCTCTTGCTTCAAGAGAGGAAGTGTCAAGGAAAAAGGAAAGATAGAGAAGCTTTCTGTCTTGATCTCCTTCTTTCTTTCTTTCTCCTTCTCTTCTCTTCCCTCGCTGTCTTTTTTCATCTCTCTCTACGAACAGTCACTGAAAGGGAGAAAGGAGACGGCGTGGGAGAAGGAGGCAGAGTCGGAAGCAGGGCAGAAACTCGAGAGAGAATAAGACATGCATGGATACGTTAGCAAGAGAGGGGAAGTCAGAATGAATCATAGGTCTTATCATCAAGAATAGATGGCATTTGTTAGGTGAATACTTGATAAGCTCTTGAAAAGCAGGCGACTGATACGCTCTTGGTGTTGCATTTGCAGGCAGTAGGATCAGAGTGTGTAGACAGAAAGCCTCAGGTGTACAACACGAAGCTGTGCTGCTCTGTAATCCGATCGTTGTGCTGTAAACCGAACAACAAACAGAGGAAGATCCAAGATAGAGAGACGTAAAAAGAGGGAGGGAGAGAGTGGTGGAGGACAGAGGATA